GTGTACGATACTTGTTTAAACAGTTGATAAATCTTAGGGTAATTTACACAAACACATGTATGAGCCTAAGATACAAGTTCTATAACTTGTATAAATATATAAACCTATATATTTTTGTATATGTAAGAGGTATATTGAAACTACCAAGTTGATAACCATCTATACAATCATAACACATTTGTAGTCGGAATGTATATGTTATTTTTATTTTTTGTATTATTTTATCAACATAACATATGTAAACATTGATGTTTTGAAACGATTTTCTTTACTTAACATAGAAGCGTTTAAACAATTATTTCTCAAACTAGTAATATGTTTATACAAAACAATGCTATTTCATGTATATTTTGTATGATAAATATTATTTAGTACACGTACTACCATGTACAGTCGAGGGTCACACTTGAAACACCGGAGGGCAGGATCATTTTGGCATTTAAGCTGTTCTGAAATCCAACAACCATATGCGACCTTTCAAACCAGATTCCCCATGCGGTAAGTAGTAGAGTAGTAAATAATATTTTTGTGTGATTTATATTGCATAAAAATAATGATGTTGTTTGTATAAACAAAACATTTAGACACATGTGTATATATATATATATATATATATATAGTACAAGTAGTACATGTACCCCCCCCCCCCCCCCCCCCCCCGAAAATATGTAAAACTAGAGTCGTAACACTCACCTTAATGCGTGATTGGCGAGTAAGTGATGCGAGAAAAGCCGAGATCTATTGCTTTGAAAACGAACCGTCGAGATTAGTAGCAAACCAAGCTTGATGATGGTGTTTTATGGTGATGAGAGTGAGGGGTTTTGATGGTGTCCGGTGGTGGCTGCCCTCAGTTTTCTTCCTTATTTTTGAACTGATAACGATGGGGGAGGGGGCTGATAGGTTTTAGGGTGTGTTTGGGATTGCTTTTTGGAGTGAAAAGTCCTTTTGTAAAAAGAACTTTTTATAAAAGAACATTTTCTAGAAAAAGGTATTTAAAATGTGTTTGGATGGACTTTTAAGACTTTTAAGAGATAAAAGTCAAAAGTCACAAAAAGATAGGATTTCATGACTTTTTAAAAGGCTTCTTTTTAGGCATGACTAAAAGTTAGTTTAAAAGGACTTTTCTATTTTGCCGAACATCTTTTGAACTTTTTTAACTTTTTAGAAAAGTTAAAAGTCCAAAAGATGTTTTAAAAGCAAAGCCAAACACCCTCTTAATGATCAGAAAGGGTTATAAGGAGGTGCTTTGGGTGGTAGAGTGGTGGTATAGGGTGGTGGTGTTGGATGGTTTTGTTGTAAACCTTGAATGAAAGGTGGAGGATTTAGAGAGGGTTTTGTGAGAGGTTTTTTGATGGAGTCACCTAAGCGTCCTTTTTATAGCTAAAAACACACACACGCACACACAAACAAAATAAGGCCATGCCTCCAACAATGCAATGTACCCTCTTAGTGAGACATGCACACAAAGAGAAGGAAGGAGATGGAAGAAGGGCCTTGCCCATGTGGGTTTGGATAGCCAAGACGAGGGTTGGCTGATCTTTTTCATTTACACAACTCTTTTGGGCCCCACATGGGGTTATACCCCCATTAAATGTCTAAAACCTAGCATAGTTTTGGTGTAACGGGATCCGTGAATCGAGAAAATTTTCCGATAGTGCCATTAAATAGAGTTTAATTCAAGGATTCCAAAACATCAAACGGATTAATTTTTGGAGTTACGGATCTCCGGAAATTTGCGTTCGAAGTTTTGTGACTAAATAGTCGTAATGTCCATTTTCGCAACTTTTGTAAATATTTTCGCTAAAAACATTTCGAGTGTAGAATTAAATAATAAACTATATCTGATTCCAAAAACATTCTCGGAAATCCCTTTGGCAAAGCGTAAGTGTCTCAACGGATCGACTCGGTTTTACGTGATTAAAGAAAAATATTGTTTTAATGTTCGTTTTCTTAACATTGTTGTATCTTTTGCATACGAACTCCGTTTTGGACGTTCTTTATATTTTCGGAAACAGGGGAACATATGCTATAATATTTTAATGCTTTTTTTTTCTCGAAACTACTTAATGCAAATTTTTAGTTTTTTAGACGCATTAATTAGCATTGCCATTTAAACGATTTGATTTGGTTGATAGTTTAGACATTTGGAAGCAATGTATCATTTGACATCATATAATAATTTAAATGAACTTATCTATTTTATGTAGGATGAACTAAAGCTCAATAAGTCAAGTTATAACGAGATTCGCGGTGAATTGGCCATCTATAATATTAGCCTTAAATTCTGGGATGTCACACCTTGGAATTATCTTTCCCAAATGTGTTTGGTTAAATCGTGACGTAGATTGTGATGTGTTTAACAGTTTTGTATTTCCAAAACCCTAGAGAAGTATGTCGGGCTGCCAACTTGTATTACTGCAGGTGGATTAAGTATATCTTTCTAGATATATGAACAAACAACCCTACTATCTTCTTTTATTATCATGTTATGTAAAATTACACAAACAGTCAACATCATGGGCACTTTTTCCCTATCCCATGTTCATGTTGGATGTTTCATTATATGCCATTTTTGTTTTAGGACTCCAAACGCTCGGTCCACATCCTTCCTTGCAGATTTCTGTGCTAACCTGAACAATTTTCATTTTTATCGGTTGTATATAAATATGAATTGACAATTGTAGCATACTCTGGATATATCCTATCACCTAGCTAATACCCATACTTATATTCATTTCCATTCACAACGTATGACATGTTTTGTTCTTTACCCACTACTAGAAAAACAACTTTTTACGAGGCATAATGTGTGTCGTAAAACACTCAGTGGATGCGCAAATGCATGTGAAGGAAAGCCCTGTCATAACGAGAGACGATACGTTTTTGCTTATCGTCTATAGACGATGCACATTTACGACGCACAATGCGTATCAAGGAAGCCCCTGTCATAAAGGAAGACGACACACATTTGTGTGTCATAACTTTACACGCGCATTTTGGACACGCATGACGTATCATTAAAGCCCCTGTCATAAATTAAGATGACACGCATTTGCATGTCATAAAATTCAGCAACCAATTTACGACACGTCTTTACGATACTCATTTACGCATAATACAAAAATATGAAAACAAATATATACCAAAACAATCAATTTCATCCAATAACATCATGTCAAAAAATTGTAATACATTGATATTAAGGGGATTTGATTGTACATTGTTATTAAAAGGTTTTCCCTAACTATATAGCCTAATATTACATTGCTATTAAGGAGCGCCTTCTTGTTTCAGATATCATGTCAAAAAAAAATCCTCCATATCATTGGTTTGTTACCTGGTGTACTGGGCTATTGTCCACCAGCCAAGTCCCCTTCTTCCTTGGTAGTGTTTGGTGACTATGGTGCTTCGACTTGACACATTTTCTCAAATTCATCTTCTGTCCATTTCTCCTCATAAGATCGCACCTAAGTAAAGTAATAACAAAAAAATTATAAAAGGGATTCAAACAACAAAATGCACCAAAATATATAAGTCAGAAAACAAACAAATCTCCCTTGCTCTCTTTCCACTTCCATAATTATGTGTGTCTAAGTTCCCAAGCTCACTCTTTCTTTTACCTCCATAGGAGGGGGTGGTAGTGCTGATGCAGCTCTTCCAAGAGGTTGTTGAAAAGGTAGCACAAAAGATACACAAAATAACAACATACTTTGATTTTTGTTTGTTTTATTGTTTATTATAGTATTTTATTTTCATTTCTTTTTATTACAACATTATACGTTGAAAAATCTATCTTTTATAAGTTTATATCTTTATAACTTCGTGCTTTCAATGTTTTCCTTATATCCCTCAAGATAAAGCCTTTTAAACATATAAAACTTATTAATGAAACAATGTCTAATTAACTAATAACGTCATACAACAACCTTTTTTTTTTTATCTTAAATATTATGGAACCCTTATTATCAAGTTGATTTATGTAAGACAATAAGGACAAAGTATAGAAATACACCAAAAAGATTATGCAAAAGTTGTAAATAACCTTTTGGTGAATGAGTTAGTTGCATTCCACTAGAGAAGTAGTGATGTTAAGTAAGTTGGCCTACAATGAGTTGGCGATAGCTTGGAGCTGATTTCTACTAGTTATCATTTCCTTGGGCCAATAATTAAAAAGATACATAAGCAAAAGAGCACAAAAAGTCAACATATTGATCAAATGAAAAAAATCAAGGGACTAAGTGGAGGATGACCTCTTCAAGTTCTCGCATAAATGAGGGTGGTAGTTTACAAGATGAAATGAGCATGTGCACAAGTGGTCAACTCCTTTGACTGTAATTGAAACTTCTTTCATCATTTCAAACCCTGATAAAAAATTAAGTAAAAAATGATCAAAATTATGTGAATAAACTAGTTGAATTGCAATAAATCACAAAATAAGCATGTATCTGATTATGTTGGTGGTTATGCCTAATTCCACTAAATCTTGAAAGAGTTAGTTGATAAGGTGATCCTCGTATAGCAAACATACTAGAGAACTTTTATCTGATGAGGAGCTCGTAAAATCATCTGTTAATTGCTCAGAAAAGACGAGAGTTTCAGAGTTAATTAGTTCTATATTAAGCAAAAGAATTGTCCCTGTGTGTTGAATTCACTGTGGTTGATGATTGATCTTGGTTATGATGATCATAACACATTGGAAAATTCATGACGATTCAGAGTGACATAAAAGATGATTTTCTACCTTCGACAATAAACTGACATTCATTAACCCTTGACATGATACATGTTGCACAAGGAGAATCAGATCCATATGGTATTATGATCCATATATCACCACTAAAAGGAGCAATTAAGCTGACACTTTTCATTTCAGAAGCATCTCCTTTCTGAAGAATATGATGTGGAGATAAATCCCTCCCGAATACATCCAGACATGCAATACATATTTATAGTCTTGTAGAGTCTGGGTACCTTCAATGTCAAGTCACCCTCACGATTTGCTTGTGGTATGTAAGCTTGGATATTTAGAGATGGCTTCTCTACTTCAATGAAATTCTCTTAAAAGATGACCTGAAAGAAAAAGGAAAAAAATCAAATAACTCAAGGCTTCCACAAGACATGCAATACATATGAAGACACAAACTCTTTTTACACGTAAAACGAGTTGCTTGTTTAATGGATTAATTATCTCAACACCATTGATTGATGCAGTAACAACATCAGATTCCTCCCAAATCATACACTCCACAAGATTCTCCTCAAAAACCAGTTCACTAATAGCACAATCCAAATTCCTAGAAAAAAAAGAATAAAGTCTTAGATACTACATTACGTAAAGATAATTACATAGTTACATAATTAATAAATTATACTTATTGCGTAGAGTTGCAGAAATTCGATGTATAGAGCATTTAATGGAGGACAAAAGAATTCTATCACTTCCAGCAGCCTCAAGAAAAGGGGAGAGTGCAGGATGAAACTTTATTGCCTCATAAATATCCTGTATTAAATTATATAATGATCAATAAAGCGAAATCATCTCACCTAATTTAGCTTAATACTTAACACACTTACCTTAATTACTTTATCTGAAACAACACCAGAAAACTGACTGGAATCATTTGTGCCTCCACCACCCAACATACCACGCGAAAGCCACTTCAACCATCCTTGTGGTTTGCCAGATGTTTGGTCATCATCCATTGACTTGTCAATGGGAGTATTTGCTTCACTTTTCCAAAACCAGAAGCTGAATCCACCAAGAACTCCTACATGTTCATAGTCTTTAATAAAATGTATAAGTAAAAAGCACATGCAATAGATATTAACAACAATGATCATAAGCATACCTGAAGCTCATGTTCAACAGCAGACATATAACTCAATATATCTTCTATATTAGATACTTTCTCTATTTGGTCCAACTCCAAAACTATTTCATCATCCAGAGGCTGATCATAATTCATATACACCATATAATGTTTAAATCAAGAAAACTATATGTGTAATGACTAATGACCTCACCTGCTCTTTTCGTAGACATTCTAGTTTCAACTTGTACAACTTAACATATCGTCTTTTTCTACCTCTGTATAAGTAAAAGATTTTTAAGGGTTTAAGATTTCAAGCATTCCATGATGAAAATGTACATAGCAAATAGTATAACATGGTAGATCATAGATGTTAATCTTGAATAAAGAACAGCTTACAGGCGTTCTCTGAAGTATTTCCATGAAATTTTCTTCATTCATTTATGAACATCGGATAACACAGAGTTTTGAGCATAGTGCCACCATTGTATCTGCCATCCCAAAGGTCTTTTTGATATAGGTATCCCCACTACAAATAAAATGACATTTAATGGCACAAAAAAAGTGCCACTAAATACAAAAAAAAGTACCACTAAAAACTCACTTTGTAATCTGCGACACAAAAATAAAATGTCTCTAAAAGCGCTCCCACTAAAAATCTTTAGCGACACATTTTTGTTGTGCGGTTGCGGGTTTTAGTGGCACTTTCGATTAACATTTCTAGTTTTAGTGGCACTTTTTTATGCCACTAATACATATGTTAAATTAAATCATTTTCCTACTTTTTAGGGGCACATGCTCTCTCTCTCTCTCTCTATATATATATATATATATATATATATATATATATATATATATATATATATATATATATATATATATATATATATATATATATATATCAGAAATTAGATCCAATTACTTTTTTAATTTAATTGAACTAATAAAAATACAACTAAGATTATAAGTGGACATACCAATATCATTATTTAAAACAAAAGTTAACTAACAAACAATAATATACAAAATAATTACAATTTCGATAAAAGAGTCGAGTAAAAGGTTTCCTTTCTTATAATGCATTAGATGTTTGTACTTTCTACAAAAACTCGCATATGCCATTCTTCAAATAAGTTGCTCACTTGTCTTTCTTTCATGATCTTTTCATATAATTGTTGTTGAAGGTTAGAAACTTCTTCCTGTAAACAAACTATAACTTTAGCAACTTCAACTTCAAGTTATAACTTATTAAAAGCTAAATAAGAAAATTAATACAATATACTATTACATAGCACATCAAAGTAGATGGGTTCATTTTAATGTTATATACACAACAATATTAACCAACGATTAACATATAACAAAATGATATTATAACTAACAAATACATTTTGATAAAAATGCAAGTTAAGATGAAAAAATAAAATAAGAAATTAATGACGAATGATAGATTTAATATTTTTAAACTTAAATCATATTATCTAATGATAAATTTCTTTATTTTGTGTTGTATACTTTTAGTAATTTATATTCTATAATCATGTTTGGTTCTTTTGTTTATAAGAATACTAACAAATAAAAAAGAATTTTGTGTAGTGAAATAAAAGTTGTATTTGCTTCTTAATCACTAATGACTCATTAAGCACAAATTAATTATTTTAATATGTTGCTTTTGCAGCCATACTTTAGCCTTTTCAATACGGTATATGGTCACATCTTAGACTATTGACAGTTAATGACCATTTTGCCCTTCTAACACTCTGATAAGTAATTTTCACATTATGAGGGCCTTGATTTACAATCAAATTAAAGGTTAAAAATATTATGATTACCTTGACTTCCTTGAGCCACAGTTGCTTTAAATATGAATCACCAAGAGCAATTGAAACCATAAGTGCACCATGAACGTTTTGCAATTGACTTTTCACAGCTTTACAACATGGGCTGAAAAGTTGTTGCAAGTTGTGATCCATAGCTTGCTTTTCATCTTCACATACCAAATTAAAACAATCAGAGACAAAAAGTAAACTAAATTATAGAAAGCATCAAAGTAGCATTTAAAGTATAAATTGTTTTCCAACACACCTTCTCATTGACCAAGTCAGAGATGGCAATGACTTGATTCTTGCCATGCTGTCAATTGATGGTTGTTCTAAAGCATCAACTATATCAACCGATCCATGAGATGTTCCAGAGGGTGCAGAGCATTGAATTTCAAAGCTCCCGGTCAACTGGATTTTACTAGAGGTCCCACCAATGATGGGCAAAGGTACACTAGGTGTTGAATGAATGTTTTAAATGCTTTTTGGCTCACTTTACTAACACTTGCTACAGATGAAGTATCCCCTAGTGGACCAAATACCAAAACATAATCTTGATCAATCAATTCCAACGAGTCCACAACTGTACAAATCAAGATAAATTCAATAACTTACTTTCATGATGATGTAAGAAAGATGAATAGTTTAACATTTAACAATGGAAATATATTGAAAACGTACCTTTGGAACGGATATATATGGGTCTGGGATCGATTAATCTTAAAGATTCTTTCAGATTCCCTTTTGATGATTTACGATTTCCAGGTCCAAATACGTTATTTTCCAAAAATCACCACCCAAGAACATTTGTTCTTTCTCATTAAGGAATTTCATCGAACACTTGGTGTTCGACTAATAAAGTAGGAAATAATAAAAATTTTGAACAGTGGTAGAGGATGCAAATGTAATAAGCAACGAACTTAAACTAATTGGCTACCTAATTTTCAATCAGTTCTCATTTTGATAATAAAAATGAGCTAATTTTGACAACAAAATTTGGTAACACGTTAATCTATGTGCCTCTTGTTAACTTATTTTGATAATAAATTTAGGTTTAGATTTAATTTGCTTAAATAAAATTAACAAGAGAGAAAGTATTCTAGCATTCACGTCAACCTCCTAAACTTAATCGGCATGTTAATTTGTATAGTATCAACAATTTTGGTTAATTCAAAGCTAACAATCAGATAGATAATCAAATTCCAAGTGAGATGTAAACAAAATTTACCAAAAATACAAAAAAAAAAAATCTCCTACAAACAAAATTGATCGAAAATACAAGAAAACCTACTACAAGAAAAATTAGTTTCTTATAATCATCATTCTTAAAATCGAAATTACGGATTTGTACCTTGATGTCTGGGAAGACGAGAGCGTCTGCAATGCCGACAAGGAGCATGGCTGACAAAGGGATAGGGCAGACGAGAGACGAACTGAGATGAGAGATTCTCGAATTCCCTAAATTTTTTGGTATCTTCAAAAAACTTCAGTGAGGGAACATGTTTTTTTGCCCTCTTTAAAACTTTGGGGACGTAAATACGGGAAAGAGGGGGGAACGAACTTATTATGCCATGAAAAGAAAAACATTTAGTGGCATATAATATATAATAAATTGTATGATTCAAAATAAAAAATAAAATAGTAGCACTTTATATCATTATGCCACAATTAAAAATGAATATTAGTGGCATAAAATAATAAGTGTCATTCAAAATTTTAAAATTTTATTAGTGGCATATAAGATATGTCACTAAAAACGTCCTATAGTGGCACAAACTTATTATGCCATTAAAAGTGTATGCCACTAAATGACATTTTGTTTGTAGTGCCCCCAAGGGCAATAGCGTCCACATCTAAAAACATTATAAGACCAATGTACCTCACAATTTGAAAGCGTAATTAAAAAAGGATAACACTGATGAGACGACATTCCACTCACATTAGATAGATTTTTACTGTTGTACATTGCAGGTGAACAGGTCTGGAAGGCTTGAGAATAATGCAGCACAATACTCGATTGATATCGAGTTATCTAGCTTGGTTAGTTTCTTAAATTTTGTAATTATAAGTAACTAATTAATCATTTCTTAGTTTATTATATCAGATTACATAACATTCAACTGACATGTCAGCATGTCACCAACTTTTAGGTCTTGTTCCTTGATGAAGATCAATTGCAGCAAATATTGTATCTGTATAAATTTGTTATGAGATGATGCATACCGTAAGCAGATACATCAACCGGGGACAATAAGTGAATAGGTTCATCATTTTGAAAGCTTGCAACAACCATTGACATGGAGTCTTCACCATTGTTGGCATACATATCTTCTGCAGATCCATGAAAGGTTTTACAGTAGATTTTGAAACCTTGTATCTTAACAAGTTTGTTTACTTGGCCAGCTCTCACTTTTCTACTTAATACCCTGAAATTATATTAGAGTCATTGAGAGTTTTAAGTAGTCGATAAACTGAGAAAAAAAATCAATTTCACAGATGGGGTTTTTTTGAAACTGTTGTGAGAATCAAAGATAAGGTATTTGAAGAAAACATGAAAGTATTCTGTCTTTTATATACAACGATATGATTTTAGAGAAAGATCAACCTTACAAATCTATAGAGATGCACATTTTAGCACATTTTAGCAGCCTACAGAACGTATTCTTTTCCAGTCACTCAACATTCAAACAATGAATTTTCTTGAGAGTTCAACAAAGTCAGTGGGGCATACACCAAAAATCGCTGAGAAGAGTTGCGGACTGAGGAGCAAGGGAAAAACCCTAACTAACCTCAAATTAATCGGTTTTTACTGAAAAAAAAGGCAGAAATTGAGAGAGAGTTGGAGTTTACCTATATAGACGCTTGGGTATGGTACCGCTAGTCCACCGTCTTCTTCTACCACTAGTGTTAGTAACCGGAATGCCGTGAGAATTCATCGATACATTAGAACCGTAGCCGATGGGGAAGAAAACCGATGAATTGATGGAGGTGTAACAGGTATTTGATATAAGAGACGGTGAGGGCTACACGATTTTTGACGGGAACTATATGTGGTCGCGAAGGGTCTGAAATCAATCAGACACAAGAACACCACCACATCTTCCCATTCGTTGCTCTCTTTTTCAGGGTCCAAGTAGATCATTCTCACTGGCGGCCAGAGGAGGAGGCTTCGCCGGTGTCATCGACTAGAGACCGGAGGTGGAGGCGTCGTCGGCAATATCAATGACTTTGTGTTGAATGAACATTCGGTTCGATTTTGACTTTATGGTCAAATGGACACTCGATTTAAAGTCTCAGAATTGTGAGGCTGTTGGTGAATGGTGACCTAATATAGTGACGAGGGTTTTGTTATTTGCGTAGTGCGACAGGAAGGAATGGTTGGAGAAGATGGTCGGAAACACTTGGAGGTGCGAGATCGGAAGTTGGGTGGTGGTGCGGAGCTGCTATGAAGACGAAAGCCTAGAGCTTTTTCTTGCCCCTTAAAAACCGTGTGTTTCATTAAAATGTTATAAAGCGACACATTTAGATGACGCACATTTTATGAAAGGCGCCCTCCACATTTACTTTTTTTTCTTTTCTGACACTAATTTTAGGGCATGCACAAATATGTGTCCTCTATCCTTCAAATTTTGCAAAACTAACATTATGTTTTAGGGCGTGCGCAAATGCGTGTCCTCTATCATCGAGTGTCATTGTTTGCACGTCATTAAAGGGTTGTTTTCTAGTAGTGACCCTGCAAAATATTGTTAAATAACAGAGAGGTTTGGAGAACATTCAGGTCATTGTTTGACCCGGTCATACCAAAGAATGCATGCCAAAACCATAGGTCCTGTGAAACAACCGCCTCTAATATAACAATCGGGACCCCATGATCACCTCGCATGAATTGACTACGCCACATATTGGGACAATTTGCCTACTCCCAATGTGTATAATCAATGCTACCAAGCATTCTTAGAATACCATGTTTAGCTTGATGCGCGACATACGACTGTTCGACATCACTTTTAGTCAGATTTCACAGGTATATATGTCACGGTAAAAATCTATAACATACTCATAGAAAGATATGTACAGTCTCAACCTGTCCTCTCAGATATTATCTGATGTGTCTGCGGCTATGCCATATCTCAATTATCTAAGAGCGGTCGTACATTTTTGTATTGTAGTAAAACCACGTTTACCTCTACTATCCCATCTTAATTGGAAAAAATCATAATTACGTTCCAATTCTCTAGCTATATGTAAGAATAATTTTCTACTAATACGAAAATGTTCTTCAGATTTCGATAGATCATCTAAATTATCAAGGCAAAATAATAACGTACCAAAAGTTCATTTATCGCCTTTCGACCCCTGTTGATCTATTTTCTACGCTTCTTCTGGTTGTGTGAACTTTCGTCTCTCTCACGAACCGTGTCTTGTATCGTAGACAATAGTGTGTGTAATACCAACTCGTCAACAAAATCATTATCAGATGAAGAAATTGAACCGAAAAAATTATCCTTTTATTGTTGAATGTGTGTGTTTGTTTTGAAAGAGTTTGTGTGTTTTGTTTTGAAAAATATATGTAAAATGAATATATATGTAGAGAGAAATTAAATTAAAAATAAAAAACATAATTGTTTTATTAAATGCTATCAAACAGTTGAAACTAACGTTCTCATTTAACCCACCAATCAAATCTCACATCCTCTTCGGTCTTCGCAGCCACGTCACACCCAACCCACCAAGCCTGGGGACGGTGTTCACACATGAGGAGGGGGTCCACGTAAGCACTTCACGCGTGGTTTTCTTTCCACTGCGGGTGGCCTAACTAGGATGACAAGTGCTTTTATGCATATATTATCATTAAATAAAATAAAAAGATTAACCAAAATTTATATTTTTTATCTATATTTCTTAATTCTAACAACACATTTGTTTTGATTAAAATACTTTTTTTTATTTCCTTTTCCTAACAAAACTAAAATATATAAGAGAATTAAAGTCTTTATATTTAAAACATTCCATACATTACATAATTTAACATAATCAAACCTTATTAGCAAAAGTAAACCCTCTATCAACCGCATAATCTACAAAACTATATAACGTTAAAACCTTGTCACCATACTTCTTAAAACCCTCAAACTCCCTCTTAGCCTCCGCCCTCTAACTCCTCTGCTGCTTCTACCGCTCTATCAACCCCATAAACCGCCACATAACTCTTCTCAGTCTTCTCCTTTCCTTTCCCCTTCGCCTCTAAAACATCATCCACCACTTGATACAAAATCCCCACCGCTTTCCCGTACCTTCTTAACCGTTGGACCTCATCAACATCACCGCCCGCTAGTAAACCACCACAAACTGCCGAGAACTCACCCATCTCACCGTATTTCTTTTCGTGGATGAATTCGACGGTGTTTGGTGAGCCGTCAAGGTCAACGAATTGACCAACAACCATTCCAGTGGACCCCACGACACGTGCAATTTCAGTGATGACGTGGAGGAGTTGGGTTTGGGGAGCGAGGTAGGTGTGAGTGTAGGAGACGATGTGGCGGAAACCTAACGGGAATAACACGTCTCCAACCATAATTGGCCTAGCGCTGACAATGAGTCAACCTGGTTTGGGTTCAGATTCAACCTGAGTTGGGTGGGTTCAGATTCAACCCATTTAATAATTGGATTGAAAATTTCAACCCAAACCAATTTGTTTATTTAAATGGGTTGATATTTCTAACCCAACCCAACCTTTTAGATAAACGGGTTGTCATATTTATGTAGTTACCGACCCAATCTATTAAATAAATGAGTTAAATTTGGGTTAACACATTTAAAATCAAAAATAAATTAATTAATTTACTAAAGATTATACTATTTAAATCAGTTCCAAAGATAAATAAAATTTCAAAGTAGGACAAAAGTACAATGCCAATTTACAAATACAAATAGATTGTTCAAATAACATAAAAAAATGTTTAATTTCCAAGGGATTTTGGAGAATGACTAGTGTCGATGCTAAGAATAAAGACGGGAATTAGGATTGCATTTTTTTAAAACACAAATACTAATACAACGTTATAATTTATAAATTAATACTTCGATTAATACATTATAATATTCAAATAATTTAAATGAGTTGGTTGGTTGGTTGAAAACGAATTGATATTATTTATCCAACCCAATCTATTTAATTAAATGGGTTACACGGGATGACCCATTAAACTTAAATGGGTTGAAATTCTCAACCTAACCTGGTAATTTTGGGTTGGGTTCGATTTAGGTTAGCGGGTTGGATTGATTTTTGTTGCCTCTAAGGATTGCCAAGTCCATACCTAAGACTGCGTGGTTCGAGGGTTGACCACGATGGGATAGGTCGTCATCCATGCATGGCAAGTCTCGTCATGAATTAGAAAGGCTACGTGGACCTATAAAATATCTCTACATTATCTAACTTTATTCAAAGAGTAAATTGCAAAATTGGTCCCTAATGTGCACTTTGCGTCCGTATTTTTCATTCGTATTAATAGTCCTAAAATTGAAACTTCCATGCAGATTTGGTCATTCGAGTTAACTAATGTCTAAAAGAAAAAGACTCAAACCGTACTTTTTTGATACCGACCGAATCTACATGGAAATTTCAAATTTGGACTGACCATGCAAATAAAACAATGATTCAAACTATAGTTTTTAAGATACTACAGGAACCAATTTTGCAATTTACTCTAATTCAAACGTATGAAAATATAAGACAAAATTGCAAAAATGGTCCCTGTGGTATGCATTTTTTTGGGGTTTCAATCCAAACCTCGACTTTTTTGGATTCATGGTCCTTTTGGCCTAGTTTGTACGTAAAATTGGTCCCCCGACTTAACTTTCGTTAAGTTTTTGCTGTTAATCCCCTCATGTGCCTCCCACATGAGGGTATATTTGTCTTTTCAGTTATAAGGGACCATTTTTGCACCTAAAAAAATATATCCCCATTTTTAAAAGAAAAAAATTAATACCTATTTTTTTAGTTTAACAATTAAAAAATAAAAGTGGTCTCTCTCTCTCTCTCTCTCTCTCTCTCTCTCTCTCTCTCTCTCTCGTTTCACACATAAACATACATAACCAGATAAACTCATTCATCCTCCATCCCAATCTCTTAGATTTCCTAAATCTCCAAATTCACTCCTAATGTCCTCTTTGTCTTCCTCAATAGCATGACATGAACCATTCTCTTCACATCCAACTTACCCAACCACAATTATATAAAAGATCAAAAGGAAAAATCCCAATATATTTCAACCAACATGGATCCTCCATCCTCCACCGTATCAGATCTTCCAACGTATTCAATCTGACCCTGACGCAACCCCTCTTTTGCCACTACCTAATCATGAATCGGATCATGTTGAGCCGATGATCACATCCCCCATTATGATCAACAATCAATAGCCCTTGAAGTTAAAGAACAAATAGAATATCAATCGAGACTACAGACTTGAGTCTTTGATCTGCCTTAACCTTTCTCTATCTGTAGTTATTTGCTTCGATTTATATTTCTTTAGAGTAAATTACATGTTTGGTCCTTGTGGTATGCTGATCTTTTGCTATTCATTTTCATTGATATGCTGATTTCAATCAACCTTGATCCTCTGGTCATCATTTGTTCATCATCTTTACCTAGAAATATGAATTGATTTCAAAGCTCAAGAAACCAAACAAAAAAAATGATGTGTACAGTTTAGGTGTGATTGTGTTGATCTTCCTGACCTACTTTCACAACAAAGAGAAACTAATGAAATAAGGAAAGGATTTTAACAGACCTAATTGGACTTGGAGTGCCGAATTCTAACCAGCTGAAAGATGTTGTACAACACCCAAGTGATGACTGGAACTTCAGAAAGCTCACTCACACAGGTGCTCAATCGAACTGATTAGGGAAGAATAAGATCGGAAGCAACAAGGGTTGCTTAAGCATTGATTTGCGAAAGAGAATGAAGGAAGGAATATCCAAGGGAAACAGGTAAGCTGCGGAAGCAATTTCAGTAAGGAAAGGTAAGAAGATGTGATGAAGAACTGAAGGAGGTGGCAAGGCTGCTCCATGACGATCCTCATCGTGGTTTCTTTCTCGTCATTGATAACAACGATTCGGAAGGGAATCAGAGTAGCTGCAATACCAACGATTGAGGTGAAGTGTTTGGGGTTGTACTTTTTCGACTGTAGGAGGGTTGTAGAGGTGTTGAACATCGATTGCAGTCGTCGAGAGGGTTGTAGCTCCTCTTGATCTCTCTGGAAACAGCCATCCCATGGCGTGTTTGTTTGTTTGATGCTCGACAGGGGATTTTGGGTTATGCTTCTTCAACAATGGTGTTTGGGAAGAATAGAGAGAGAGAGAGAGAGAGAGAGAGAGAGATTCTGTTTTTTAATTATTAAAATAAATAAATAGGTATTATTGTTTTTTTTAAAAAAAGGAGGATATATTATTTTCTGATGCAAAAATGGTCCCTTAGAAGTTAAAAGACAAATATACCCTCATGTGGGAGGCACATGAGGGAGTTAACAGCAAAAACTTAATGGAAGTTAAATCGGGGGGGATCAATTCTACGTACAAACTGGGCCAAAACGATCATGAATAAAAAAAAATCGAGGTTTGAACTGAAACTCCAAAAAAATGCATACCACAGGGACCATTTTTGCAATTTTGTCTAAATATAATCTATCATAGTTTAAAGTTTAAAACTATTTTAAAGTTTAAAACTATTTTATAAGCTAGTATAACAAACATCATACATGGCATGTATCAGCATGTTACTAAGACCAAGTCCAATCGACCTGCATATCAGTAAAATAGAAGCCAAACCTCCTCCCATCGTACCTCAAATCTAACACAAAAATGGTGATTGCTACAGTAACCCACTAAAAATAGCGGCCTCCTGTTCATACTCCGCTATCTACAAAAATTATATGATATTTACTTATTTTGTCTTTTGCTTTATATTATATATTATTTGGATATGAGATTCAAAAGTTTAATGCCCTTGTACTACAAAGGAACCATTAAAATATTGAATTTAAGTTTTTTGATGTGGTGTTTTTAGCGTGTGGTTGGAGGCAAAAATTTATATGGTGTTAAAACTCACAATTTTAGTGTTTTCTTTAGTGTCATGGTTGGATATGGCCTAAGGTGTTACTTTAAAAAAAATTCTCCATGTTTTCATTAATATTTGTTTCTTTTAGAGTAAATTACAAGATTCGTCCAAGGTTGAAGGTTTAAATTGTACGTTTAGTTTCTATTTTCAAAAATTATCTAAGACCGTTCATTATATTGTTAAAAGTTGCACGTTTCCGTCCCTTCCATACATAGGACTGGAATACCATTTTCTATTTCTTTTTCCTTTATTTTTTTGTGTGTTTATAATTTATCTATTATTTTTTTATTAATTATATATTTTTTTAGAAAATGAATTGGTCCCTAATACTCTAATACCACTCCACCAGATTACGAATGCCAACGCGGCGGGTTCGGGGCAGGGCATGGTTTCCCAAACCCGCTCCGATATTTTTCGGGTATCTTATCGGGACACCCCATTGAGTTTGGGTTTTCCTGTCGGGTTTCGGGTATCTTATCGGGTTTTTAACAATTGATAACAAATTTTTTTATTCCGTTTTAAGGTACCTCGATGTCTTATAAAAAATACATATTCTAGCCTCCATTTTAAATTAAAAATATGATGCATCACTTTAATAAAATAAACTAGATGTTATATTCAAAATTATTTGACTTAGGTTTAGTATAATACGTCAAAACATAAATAATTGTTAATAACTAAAAAGATTATTTAATTTAAGTTTAGTCTAATGCGTCAAAACATAAAAAATGATCATTCACACCATATTTTAAAAACTAAAAATATTATCCATGGTAGATATTTTATCTTTTAATGTGTGCAGTTAACATCAAAAGGATTCATGTGTGTATGTGTGCGTGTATATATATAAAATCGGGGCGGGGTGGGTCGGGACGAAGAGAACCCACTCCCTGCCCCGAACCCAATAAAAAACTCGGTAACGACCCGTTACCCGACCCGAAATGATCGGGTTCTGGGTTTCCCTATCATGTTCGAGCTTTTTTGCCATCCCTACACCATACAACCATTTAGTTATACTTACAACTTCCATTATATTCTCTCACTCTAAACTTTTTCTTCTCCATTTTTGGCGAGATCACCGACGCCACCACTTCTCATGCCGGGAATCACCAAAACTTAATGTACCCAACAACACTCCACCACCACTACATCATTGTTGCTCCGAACCACTAAAGACACCGTCCTCCGCCATCGTGTCCCTCTTTCTTACCCATTACGAGCACCCAAACCCTAACAAATCAGAGTTGTCGTCGACATACCTCTATAATTCCTCCAAAATCCAAAACCCTCGCTGATGATGAAGACAACCTAAGCTCTACCGTGTAACATCCGAAAAGCTCAACCAATTTAAACTTTTCAAAACAACCCGATTTTCATTAAAATGTTTACAAAAAGGTTTTCAATACAAGTCATTTAAGTATTCCCAGAATCACGTTGTTACGAAATCATGAGGAGC